ACGTAACTATGTTCAAGTTTAATGATCATTAATAATTCAAGTTTAATTAATTAGTGATGTATATAAGTGAAAATCTGTGAGCGTTTGTGATTTACAAATTTCAATATCCAGATATCTTCTTAAAAAAAAAAGTTTATCGTCTAATTATTAATCAAAGTGTTTAACTGTGTTCAAGTATAATATTTAATATTATTTTTAACAATTGACACTCATTACGAGTGATAAATTTGATAATCTGTGAGCGTTTGAGATTTATAACTTTTAATATTTTGATCTCTTCTAAAAAAAAAGTTTGACGTTTAATTATTAATGAAAGCGTTTAACTGTGTTCAATTCTAACAATTAACACTATTTTTAACAATTGACGCTCAATATGAGTGATGTATATAAATGAAAATCTGTGAGCGTTCGTGATTTACAAATTTTAATATCTCGATATCGTATTATCACAAGAACCATGACGTTCGATTACGAGGATCTGATATCTACATTAGTGAAAATCGTGAATAATTTTGAAGATGTGAAAATTGAACCATCAAAAAATAAATTCATTTTTCCACAACTACTTGAACACTATAAAATAAGAAAAAAAGGAGAAATTAAAAAATTTCGATCAACTCTATTTTGGGCATGGCGGAAAAATTATGATGGTTTTGTTGATAAATTTAACTCTCGACTACGAGTTAAATTATTACGTCAATTGGTAGAATCTGAAAATAAAGAAGAAACTTGTGGATTAGACCAACTTACTCGAACATTGAGTACCACATCCATCTCAAATTCCGATTCATCTGAGGATGAGGAAGAAGTAAATCTTCATGATCGGCGACTGAAAATTCATCACGATTATTTCCACTACAAAACAATAGAATTTTGTAAATCAAAATTTTTGTATCGAGGTAATTTTTCTCGGGATTTATTCCATGATGTTTTACGCCAAGAATTACCAAAGCTGGCGAGAATAAAATGCGTTTTAGTATTTTAAGGCTTAAAACCTAGTAAAAAAAAAAATTGGTGAATTTAGAGACTATGCGGTATGCCGCCAGCCCAAGTGCAATATGAGACTAAAATTTCGTGGACAAGACGTTGAATTTAATACTATTCTTAATATTTATAAAACTAAAGACGAGCCTCAGGATACTGAGCCTTTGGTTTATGCGGCTAAAGGTGTTAATCGCGAAATTTTAAAAGAAAAATTGGAACATGCAAAACCGAGCACAGTTCATCAGTCAGTTATAAATAAAATGGATTTAAATTTAGCTAGAGTAGATAAAAACTATGGGTTCCCTCATACATTACCAACGTTGCAGAAAATTAGTTCGGAAGCCGCATGCGAAAATGATGAACATCAAGATGACTGTACAGATATTTTTCTTCGTTTAAGCAAGTATAAATTTAAACATCCGTACATTAAACAATATGTTCTACCATTTACCATCTATTTGTCAATCCCTGAGCAAGTATCATTATTGCGAAATCATCCTAACATTAGTCTTCGTTTTGACGCTACAGGATCCGTTGTTAGGAAACCCTATCCTGAGTCAAAGAGAGTTTATTATTATGCGGGGATCATTAATATTGAGCATAAGTTATATTCATTATTAGAAATGATCACAAATAATCATACCGCTGAATCGATTGGGAATTTTTTGAAATTTTTTAAGGGGGTCTTCTACTCTAGAGGCTCGAATTTCGAGCGTTTTTCGGCAGTCGATAAAAAAAAAGCATTTGATAATTTTACTGTCCATTTTTTTATCATGTGTTTATTTATATTTAAAGAATACACAAAATAAATTTCAAAAAAAAAAAATTTTTTTTCATCAAGTTATGCATCCTTGAAGTAGAGGGGGGAAAAAAAAAGCGATGTCCTCATCACCATGATTTCCGCCCTTGTGGTCATCTGAAAAATAAAACAATGATGGATTCTTGATTAGTATGAATGTCGCTATCGCATGAACCAACGAAACTGAAAAAAAAATTTTTTTTCATAAAATGGCGGCTACTCAAAAATAAAGGTCGATTTTTTCACTAATTTTTCAACTTTGTCGAATTTTTTAAAAATATTAAAAATTTTTAATTTTTATTTTTTGTTGGTTCATGCGTTAGAGAGATATATAAAGAATATTAATGCCAAATTTCACGTAAATCATCTGATTAGAACTTGAGATATTGTGGTTACCGCATCGAAAAAAGTAGTTTCGAGGAAAACGCGTTTCTAGAGGCTCGAATTTCGAGCGTTTTTCGGCAGTCGATAAAAAAAAAAGCATTTGATAATTTTACCGTCCATTTTTTTATCATGTGTTTATTTATATTTAAAGAATACACAAAATAAATTTCAAAAAAAAAAAATTTTTTTTCATCAAGTTATGCATCCTTGAAGTAGAGGGGGGAAAAAAAAGCGATGTCCTCATCACCATGATTTTCGCCCTTGTGGTCATCTGAAAAATAAAACAATGATGGATTCTTGATTAGTATGAATGTCGCTATCGCATGAACCAACGAAACTGAAAAAAAAATTTTTTTTCATAAAATGGCGGCTACTCAAAAATAAAGGTCGATTTTTTCACTAATTTTTCAACTTTGTCGAATTTTTTAAAAATATTAAAAATTTTTAATTTTTATTTTTTGTTGGTTCATGCGTTAGAGAGATATATAAAGAATATTAATGCCAAATTTCACGTAAATCATCTGATTAGAACTTGAGATATTGTGGTTACCGCATCGAAAAAAGTAGTTTCGAGAAAAACGCGTTTAAAGTTTTACGTTAAGTTTTAGGCAGCGTAACTGATAGTATAGTACGTATAACTTACACTCTTTTAATCAGCCATCTCAGCTTCATACATTGGGCCTTCCTCGACTTCATATTGAATGTTTTCCGCATTTCTCTCCTCATAACGAGCAGTTCTTCCTTCTTTCGAAGCATCTGAAGCTCGAACCTCAGACCGTTCAATTCTTCCTGCGTTGCGCCTGACAGCAAACCCATAAGATTCCGGACCAATTTTCATTCCCATTAGTATCATAATATTTAAAATAGGATAAAAGCCTTCATTAAAAATACAGGTAGCTAAATAATCAGCAATTTCGATTGTCTGGGATCCGGCATGAATATGTTTCGGTGCAAATGTCCATATCAAAGAATTTAGCGACTCATTGTTATTTTGAGTTTCGCTACCCAAACAACGCTCTAATAAAGAATCATCCGATAAGCTTTCGTAAATAGGCTTTAAAACCTTTAAAACCTTATCAGTTAGAGGTGGATCCTCGTGGGAAAAATCGTTCAGAGTTCCTTCGGCCGCTGCTTTCTGCCACTTGCACCAACTGTCTGGTCCAGGTGGACAATTCATGTGCTGAGGATTCTTATCAGTTGAACTTTTGTGAAAGTAAGTTGCCCATATTTCACGTTTCATATCCTCGACGGAGTCAGGATGACGACGAATAGCTAATCCGTAATACAAAGACAACTCGTTGATTTTTTTATCAGTCAACTTACCAGCGCCCTTGCCATCAATTCCACTATTGTCTTTTTTTGCCTTCCGTAGACGCGATCCCATACGTTTTTGAACGTGCCCAACGCACTCTTTTTTTATAACATCAGGTTGACCTTGGTAAGGATCAAGTGTAAGGATACCTTTAAAAGTCTTCGAGTCGCCATCTCCAAGACTTGATTTTACGTCTTCACTGTTTCGAAGTTAACATCGAACTAACTCAAACTAAAAGTAAATAGAATAAAAACTTTTGTATAATACGTTACAATGACCTTCAAACGATTGATTTAGTATACTGAAAGTATAATAGAAAGAAGAAAAGAGAGAGAGTTATTCATACTCAGGTAGCCCGGGCCTCCAGTCGTCTATTGTTCCAGTCGTCCGCCCAACCGGTCTAGTTGCCACGACACTAAAACGGCTATAACTTCGGAAATAATTTGAATTTTGAAAAATCCTTTTAGAGAGATATTTTTGAATATATAAACTATCGAATTATGAAAAAAAAAATTTTTCGATTTTTTGAAATTTCTAGAGTAGAAGACCCCCTTAAGGGAATTTGGGCCGAGGGTAATGTGAAATGGCCACCGTTTACAGATGTCACTACTGACTGGTCTTGGGCAAGTATTAATGCTTTAATTCGCAAATTCAATAACTTATCAGTTCGTGAATATTTTAATGAAGTCCATCAAGCAATTATTTCTAATGAAATCCCCAAGCTTCTCCCCGTATACATTTGTTACCCCCATTTCATGAACATGTTATCAAGGCAACTACAAAAACGGTGGGTAGAAAAAAGATTGAGGGCTTTTATATTAGAAATAATGGCTAAATTAGTTCACATTGAAGACTACAAAATTTTGAAAAAATGCTTGAGGTCAATATTTGTGATATTTTTATATCCTAAAGCGAATCAAGAGCTGTTTGATTCTCTCCAGTTCTTGTCTGATCTGCCCAATGCTCCTGAAATTCTCGATTCTGATGATGATGATGATGACGATGATGATGATGATGAAGATGATCCCGAAGATGTTATTGACAGTGAATTAGATGATGAATTGGACGATAAATCTGATAAGGGTAATGACCCTGAAAGTGAAAAAAGAAAAAAATCAGATCAGAAGACAACAGCGGCTTATAAGTCAAGCCCGTTTTATTTAGATGCTCTATTAGTAAAAAATGAAATTCAAGAAAAAGTTGAGCTTTTGAAAAAAGAAAATAAATTAAAAGATAATGCTTATTGATGCAAGACTTTCGTCGAGTATGCAATGAAGCGAATCATTCCTTTCATTCCTCTCTGGTCACTGTCTGCACGGGAAGAGAAGAAGCACTCTTCTAATGCGTCCGTGGAAAACTTTTTTAAAAATGTCAAAATTGAAAAAAAACATTGCTGTCAAAGCTGGGCATTTCATAGATAAACGGTGGGAAGCAATTTCGAGTCGGTATAAACAATTAGATTTACCGATACCGAAAGTTAATATATTACGAAAGTGACGTGTTATAAATGAACCGGATAACATGCAATCAGAGGAAGCATGGAATCGTGACAAGTCGAAACAAGCTCCAAGGATTCCTTACCAAGAAGGAAAAAGGTTGAAACGAGCTATCGACAAGTCAAAAGTTTCTGCTCTGATATTTCATAACAACGGTACGATAAAAAATATTGATTATTATTATCATCCAAACTGCCCTCGTGAATATACCGTCGCTCTAACGAAGAGCCTCAATGATGATTCAATTTTGAAATTGAACGGAGAAGATTACAATACTTTGTACAACAGAGGATGGCTCTTGAACTTTACTATTGACTACTGTGCTACTGCATTAATTAAAAACTCGCCAGAACATTCAAAAACAGCTTATGTTATCTGTGAAAACAGCTCTAAAATTTTAAAAAATTCCGTAGAAAATTTTAATCAGAACTTTTATCTTAATATGAAAAAACAATGGTCTCGTAAAACCCATCTATTTTTTCCGTGTCACGTTCAGAACTCTCATTGGATTCTTGTTTATGTCCAATTAAAAGAGAAATGGATTTATTTATTAGATTCTGGTCAAATAAAAGAAGATCCCGAATTTTATGCAGCAAATTTTAAAAAATTTTTCAGTGCTGTTTTCCCCAGCAAAAACAAAAAGGATGATTGGCTTTTAAAAAATATGGTTTATCCATCTCAAGATGAAAAGGATGGTTTTAATTGCGGAATCTACGTAATCTATTTCATCGAACAAATCTTAAAAGGTATCATCTTTTATTCACTCATAATATTTTTTTTAAACATGAGATTAGTGTGATTAGTATGCTACGGTTGTTAAACTAATTTGATGTTTTTTTTTTAGTCAGTATGTATAGTTACTTAACGTTAATTATTCAATTTTTTTAAGGGCATCAAATCATACCGTTGAAATTCAACCCTAACGAGTATAGAGAGCAGTTAAAAGTTAAATGCCTTGAGAATTCATTAGATGCTTCCGATTTGTGTCTCGTATGTGGACAAGGAGTATTTAGAAAAAATTTTAATTGGGTTTTATGTGAAAGCTGTCAGAGGTGGTTACATATCAGCTGTCTCAAACATTTGAAGAAAACTTACGAGGAGATTCTGAAATACAGACTGAAAAATGTATTCTTCCTTATTATATTCTTATTATTTTACGTGCCCAATACTTACCTTACTCGTTGATACCTTACCTCGGTCATAGCTAATTATTTTCAGTTGAATTGTCTTCATTACATGTTTTTTACAGGATTATATTATTCATACATCACAAAATAACTAACAAAATAATTAGTGTTTTAGCAATTTTGTTTAACGTAAATCATTTTTCTCAGATTTCTTAAATCTAAATTGCAAATTTATTGACTTGAGCAAAAAAAAATTTTAATTCATGCTTTACCTGATATTCTCCGTCAAAATAATTGTAAAAAATTGAAAAATATAAATATTTAATGAACAAATGAAAAAAATAAAAATCTGAACGAAATCATCTTCAGATTTTTTAAAAATGAAAATGAAAAACTTTTTTTTTGTGTTTCTCATCATTTTTGATTTTAATATTCCGGACCAAAATTTTCAAAAAAATCAAAAAATAAGAATATTCAAGAAATAAATAAGAAAATAAAAAATCCGAGATAAATCATCTTCAGATTCGTGAAAAATGAAAACATGACATTTTTTTGATTTTGATTTTGATTATTTTTAGGTAGATTTCATAGAAATCAATCTATTGCATTGGTCCTCATGTCGGAATTCACTCGGAATTTTGTCGTAATATCACTTAACTAGTCGAATGAAGCTCAAAAATAACGTCAGTTAAAAAATTTATATATGTATATATATATATATATATATGCATATGTAATATAACGCGGGATGTTGCCGCGATTGTGTCTACAGTTCTTGTCGGCTCTAGATGAAATTTGTTACACATATTCTTTGGATAATAACCTTGAATGAGTTCGAAGATGAG